AAGCTACAAATATATTTAATATGTGCAAAACAGAGATGTACAGAATAAAGCAAAAAAGTAAGAATTCTTTTAGTAAATACTGGAAAAGTGGGTCTAAGTGAGAAAAAAGTAACCCACATGCAAAACTCACGTCATAGTTAATAAAACTGTAACAGTATTAGGAGAAAATGCTGGATGGTGGGGAAACCATGGATAGTCCTGACTGCTGAAGAAATGAAGCAGAGGACAATGACAGATTCTAATAGGTGAAGAATACCTATGTAACAATAGGTAATAAGATACACATAAAAGAAAAATAAAACACAATGGGAGAATTCCGAAGCAGGCAAAACTCTTAACATCCAACTCTACAAATAATTTACACAAATATAAAGCTGATACCTAAAATCTCTTGATAATTTCATTTTTGTGATTTTTCGTTTTTAGGTAAGGAGCACTTTGAACACCTGATAGCACCATGCACCTGAAACTCCCCCCAGCTGACATCAGTTGGGGGACAAACCCTCACTTTTTCTTTCTTTCTCTTTTCTTTCTTTCCTTTTTCCTTCCTTCCTTCCTTCCTTCCTCTTTCTTTCCTTCTTTCTTTTTCTTTTGTTTCTTTCTTTCATTTTCTTTCTTTCTCTTTTCTCTCTCCTTCCTTCCTCCCTTCCTTCCTCTGTTCCTTTAGATGAAGTTTCGCTCTCATTGCTCTTTCTTCTCTCCCTTCTCCTCCCCTCCCCTCCCTTCGCTGTCTCCCTCCCTCTGTCTCTTATACACATCTAGATGTGTATAAGAGACAGCAACCCTCCCTCCTTCCTCTCTTTCTTTCTTTCCCTTTCTTTCTTCTTTCTCTCTTTCTTTCTTTCTCTTTTCTTTCTTTCTTTTCCTTCCTTCCTTCCTTCCTTCCTTCCTTCCCTCCCTCCCTCCCTCCTTCTTCTTTTTTCTTTCCCTTTCTTTCTTCTTTCCTTCCTTTCTTTTCTTTTCTTTTCTTTCTTTCTTTCTTTCTTTTTCTTTCTTTCTTTCTCTTTTCTTTCTCTTTCTTCCTTTCCTTCTTTTTCTTTCTCTCTCTCTCCTTCCTTCCTTCCTTC